TCACCAGACTAGAAACGTTAACTCTGATTTCTCTTCACAGATGCTGCCAGACCTGCTGAGCTTTTCCAGCAGTGTCTATTTTTGTTTCTGATTTACAGCATCTGCAGTTCTTTCACCTTTTATGAGAAGGTTGAGCCTTGGCTCAGCTGGTTGTACTTTTATCTTCATGTCCGTGGTTCGAGTTCCACTCCAAAGAGGTGAGCTTAAAATCTACCCAGATACAGCAGTGTAATACTGAGGGGGAACTGCACTGTCAGAGATGCTGTTTTTAGATTAATGCACTCATCCCTTCTGTAAATTGATGTGAAAGAAATAGCGACACTAGTTGAAGAAAAGGAGAGTTCTTTACAGTATCCTGTGTTTTGTGATCATCGCTAGAAAAATACCAGTTATCTGATTATTTATCGTGTTGTTGTTTGCAAGTTGTCTGCTGCTTTTGCCAGTGAAAACAGGTCAAGTGTACTTCATTGACTGTAAAGCACTTTGTGACGTCCTGAAGTCATGAATGGTGTTCCTTTCTGTTACAATTGGGACAATTATGATACACTAAGAGTTATTGTTCAAATAGTGAGGTAGAAGGAACTGTGTCTTTTTTTTTGACCATAAATTGGAAAATACAAGTTAAGGAACAGCATAAACTTTGCTTCAAACTGTCTGATTTTTGTGTGTCTTATTCATGAATGAATGTATGTGTTTGGATATTTTTAAAGGGAGAGCGCTTAAGTGCATAGTGATAATGAGTAATCCATTCTTGTTCACCATTTGCTAAAGACTAAGTTTGTTTACAATTAATAATTGTTTTCCTGTTAATGACAAAACTTGGTGTAAGCTACTTTTGTCCTGAAACGTAGTCCGTTTGGCAAACTGGTTGTGTTGGTAGTTTAATTGGAGAGATACGCCTTTGTGAGAGATTGCAGAATAGTGGGTCTCAATTATTGGCACGTTCTTTCCAAATGAGCCATGAAACAAGTTGTACACGAGTGGCAAAAATTTATAATGCAGATGAATGTAATATATTGAGGTAACAGAGCTTTTTAAATTTTAATGAAACTTAATAGGAAGTGTATTACAGGACCAGTGTCTGAAATCCAGCACCTCCAGGATTGAGACAGTGCTGCATATTGGATTTTCCTAGATTTGGATTACCTGTTACCCAATGGATTGAAGAATTGCCTGGGGGGTCTGTATTTAAGTCATGCACTGTCATCATGGTGAAGCTCTAATAAAAAACAAAAGTTTCTAAGATCAGAACGATTTTGGCCAAAACAATTTTAATCAGTTGATGTCCAAACTTTTTAAAGACTTGCCCCTACACTGAACCAGAAGCAAGTATTCCCATCTTTCACCTTAGTCTTGATGCAAGTTTGATAACCATGGACTTTTACATGTAAAATTGGATAATAGATACAAAGATGAAAGACATCGAAATGGTGCAGCTATAGTGAGAAGCCAAAGTACTTGAGGTGCATGTTATTTGATATGAAATTGTATAATTGTACAGGGTAAATTTACATTAATTTTGTCAATGCTGAGTGGTGCCCACAGCAAGAGAATTGTTGCTTCTTGGACAATTCTGGTTTTCTTGAACCTATACTTCTGTCCTGATTATTTCACAAAATATGACATTGTATCTGTCAAGAGATAAACTCACACCCACACATTTTCTCCCTCAGAAAATATGCTAACATTAATAGGTTAGGTGGATTAGCCATGGGAAATGCAGGGTTACAGGGATAGGGTAGGGAGGTGAGTCTGGGTGGGATGCTCTTCGGACAGTTGGTGTGGACTTGTTGGGCCGAATGGCCTATTTCCATACTGTAGGGATTCTATCATTTAAAATATGAAGCCACTCTGATGACTTAAATGGAATGATCATTTGTTGCTTTCATGTACCTGAGGCTAACACTGCAGGTTTTATCAGGAGCTGTGAGCCAAAATGCAATGAGAAATAGAAGAAGAATCCATCAGCCAGATTTCACAAACTCCCCCCTCCCAAATGCTATGGGTGCTCCATACTCCAGCCCCAGCTCTAAGTGAAGAATTAAATGATCCTTGCAATTTAGCTTACACTTACAGTTTGACAAGTGCCCTGGTAACTTCTCATTGAATCACTATAGTGCAGAAGCAGGGCATTTGGCCCATCAAGACCGCACTGACCCTCTGAAGAGCATCCCACCCAGCCTCACCTCCTCCTACCCTATCCCTGTGTTTCCCATGGCTAATCCACCTAACCTACATGTCCTTGGGCACTATGGGTAATTTAGCATGGCCAATCCATGTAACCATCTTTAGACTGGGGGAGGAAACTGGAGCACCTGGAGGAAACCCACGCAGACAGAAGGACAACGTGCAAACTCCACACAGGCAGTTGCCCAAAGGTGGGATTGAACCCAGGTCCCTGAAGCTGTGAGACAGCAGTGCTAACCAGTAAACCACTGTGCCATTGTCACAGTATTAAAGGAGCTATATAAACATACATTGTTATGATTTTTAGAAATGAGACCAAGTGCAATACAAATAAAACACACTGAATTAATTTTGTTCTCACCTGTGAGGTAGCGTTATGTCGACGGGAGCACACTTTTGACCCAGGCACCACTGTGACCTGGAGCATGCGTGGTGTTTCCTGTTCCTCAGCTCCAGGAGTGAGGGTGTGGGTTCACCCTGTGGTGGGAAGAGAAAGTGTCCCAGCTGCTCTCCTCCATGGTTCACAGCTCCTAGACCCGGAACATAAGCTCCTTGGCAACTGGGTTTAGAGTGATGCAAGGTGGTGGCAGTGTAGGACACTCCAGTGTAGGAGCTCCTCTGCCTGTTCTTTTTCTTTCTTTTTCCTCTTTTTTTTTCCTTCTTCTCTTCCCTTAACACCGGAGACAAATCCTGGGGTAGCGGCAGGTGCCGGCAGCAAGTCACTGGAGCAGTGAGCCCCGGAATAACTGCAGGCAGTGAGTCCCGGGTGGAGACCGGAGCAGGGGGAGGTAGTCCTGGAACTTACTTCGGAGCAGCTGTCAGCTGGTATGGAATGGACTAGGTCTTGGAGCGAAGCAGGGATGGCTGTTGGACTGGGGTCTGGCACATGCGGTCAGACCACCTGCGAAGGCCCTGCGCTGAGCTGCTGCAGTGTGATGTCTCTTTGAAATTTCCTTTAGTGTCAGCCCTTTAATGATGTCCCATTTTTAACATATTTTTCAACTCTGTAAAGTAAGTAATGCAATTGCATTTATTTCATTGCTGTACCCATGAAGTGTAGCTAGGTACTGTACCTAAGATGTCGCCATAAAAAGGCAGGCATTGTAAAAGCTTTTCACTGTACTCCTACAATGGAGTACACGTGAACAATAAAAGGTTATTCTATATTTGATGTGCTGTACGTATGGTGAGGTAATTACAGTTCTGTCTTCCAAATGCCCTCACAGTTAACTTTGAAGGCTGTAAGCTCAAGCATATGAAGTGAAGATTCTAACTATATTTACAATAAAAAAGGTCAGTTGATAGGCACAGAAGCAATGATTTGTTACTGTGTAGTCTCAGTACCGGAGCGTTGCTTTTTAAATATAAAGAATTAATTCACTGATCACATCATAACAGCAGAAAGCCATTCTGGAAGAGAGTGCAGGATGGAGAATCACACAGTCCCATCCCTCGGATGGAGCGAATCAGGATGAGTGCCCAGGAATCTGTGTTTTCTGTCGAAGTGTGGGAACCGCTGAGGAACCAGAGGCTGGGTGGGGAGGTAACCTTCATTTACAGGGCTGACGTTAAGGCTGGAGAGCTACAAGAAAAGGATGGCCACACAGTGTGACCTTCCCTGGGGGCTGGGGGACCCCACAGTGTGATTTTTCCCGGGGAAGACGGATGGTGGGATCCTACAGTATGATTTTCCCAGGGGGACCCCACAGTGTGATTTTTCCCGGGGAAGACGGATGGTGGGATCCTACAGTATGATTTTCCCAGGGGGACCCCACAGTGTGATTTTTCCCGGGGGAGGGGGATGGTAGAATCCTACAGTGTGATTTTTTTCCGGGGGGACCCCACAGTGTGATTTTTCTCGGGGTGGGGGAGAATGTGGGACCCCACAGTGTGATTTTCCCTGGGGGACCACATGGTGTGATTTGCCCTTGGAGGGGGAAAGTGGGACCTCAGAGTGTGATTTTTCTCTGGAGGAAGGGGGGAGCAGGGAAGGACCACATGGTGTGATTTTTCCCTGGGGGCAGGGGTCCCACACAGTGAGATTCCCCATGGGAGATGGGTCCCATACATTGAGAGTTTCCCTGGGTGGGGTGTTCCCACAGTGAGACTTTCCCCAGTGGGAAGGGTCCCACAGTGTGAGTTTCCATTGGGTTGAGGTTGGCCACACAGTATAATTTGCTATGTGCCCGGTACCCCTCCGGGACAGCTCTGGAACGCTGTGTCCACCACACTGTAATCCTGGCTCTGAACTTTGGGCAGAAAAGTGTTGCGGGGCTGAATGGTCTTCTCCTGTTTCTGTCCTCCCTCTCTCCAGGTGTGCAGCCACGGTGAGCCTACTCTTAAAACTCTAAGTCCTGGGAGTTGCAGTTTCAGTGCACTGCCTCTGAGCTAATGTTATCAATCAGTGGAGACATCCAGTGATTAAGTGCTTCCTCCCTTTGACGGCAATGGGATCAAGAGATAGGGCAAAATAAAGTGAAAGAAATGTGAAAACCCAATTTGCTGTGCAGTTAACTTTACAAGTGAGCTGTAAATCCATGTGAACTTTGACTGATTGGGTAGCCTACACAAAACATTGAGAAAAGTGACATGCCATTTCCCATCTTAATAACAAAATATTTCACATGTATACACAGTGGTAAAAGATGAAGGAAACTCTGGAATTAAAAGTCTATCAGAGCTCAAATCAATGTTTAGACATGGCTTGTAATTATCCTCAACGTACTCACAATTTAGATTGTTCAAGCACAATACTGCAATCCCATGACGCTGTCCTGATGTTACATTTTAACTCTGCTCCTCAAGAAGTATCCCCACATGAATTCAAATAACATTTTCATTTACAAAACTGCTAACTCCCAGGGGTTAAGTGATGCCAATTTAGTTTTCCTAAATTAGCCAGGTGATTGTCTCCTATCTGTTCTGAATATCTCCTTGCTACAAAATTCTGGATTAAGGACATATAAACTAATTTCAACAACAACAACATAATATTAACCTGGACTATTTAGCAACTTTAATGTAGTAAAATCAAACAAACATTGATGCCAAAATACATGAGATATTAGGACAGATGACTAAAAGTCTGGTTAAAGAGATAGGTTTTAAGGAATGTCAAAATGGAGAGGAGGGAGAGGGAGAGTCAGAGAGAGAGACAGAGAGTCAGAGAGAGAGAGAGAGAGAGTCAGAGAGAGAGAGTCAGAGACTTAGGAAGAAAATTCCAAAGTTTTATGGTCTGAATAACTGAAGATGTTGTGCCAATGGTGAAGCAATTAAAATTAGGGATGTTTAAGGAACAATCTATAATTCTTTGCAGTTTTACTAATCATTTTACTGTGTAACAACTCTTATAAAAGCATCTGTTAGAAAATGTGTCCAAGTTATATTTGCTGGAAAGGCCTTTCGATGTTCAATGGACAATTTCATTTTGAGGTTGTTACTCTGTGCGTTGATATGAAGTTGAGCTATGATTCACTGAAAAAGCACTCTTCCCCATTTCTCTTTCTTCTTCTTCCTAGGCAGTCCCTTGGAAATGAGGATAATTTTCTTCCACTTTGGTTTGATGAGTTCTGAATGGTTGTGATTCTCAGTGTGGTTTTCTACATATTAGTCCATGTAAAATTTACAATATTTAGTCCAGTTCCTATTGAGCCAGATATCTTGAAGTTTATTTGCAACATTATTTGAAGGCGAGTTTATTGCAGCCTTGCACACGTAGTCTGGGTTCTGTGCTTTCTGATATTGCTGTATATTACAGACACATAACTGACCCACTATGCTGACTCCATTAAACAGAGCGAGTAACTGAAAGTGAGGCAGGTACCTTAAGACTGGGATGGCATATTATGATGTCTTAAAGGTATATGCATGTTCGGGCTGGAATCTATACTACAATACAACAGGCTGATAAACCCAATGTATCAATCTGTGTGTAAATGGGTGGGACAATGAGGGATATGGGCTATTTGGAGGGTTGTGCACTCCCTTTGATGTCTCATCTTCATCTTGCAATATTCCAGTCAATATTCTTGGTGCCCTCTGGAAATGTGAAGTGTAGCACAACTAGGCTAAAAGATGATGAATGATCATCTTCACTGATCTTAAGTAAGGATGCCTTTTTTTCATCATTGTCCTTAGCATATCAGAATATGAGTGACAATGGAAATTCCCTGAGCTAAAAATATTGGTGGTGGTTATTTCCAAACACTGCATCATGAAAAAGCTTCTGCTATGTCTGAGATTCCCATCAGTTCAAAATAATCGGTTTTAAACACAATGTCAGAATTTTTTTCATTTGATTTATTGTTATCACATGTACATAAGTACATTGAGAAGTTTTGTTTTGGAAACAGTACAGAGAGGTCATGGCAAACAAGGATGTACAGATCATAGGGCACTTAGACAGAGTGAAGCATACAGGGTTACAGCTGCATAGGAAATGGACAAAGCAAGATCAACATTAGCAAGATCAACATTATTTGAAATCTGAGTGGTCTGTTCAGCAGTCTAATAACAGCAGGGAAGAAGCTGTTCTTGAACCTGTTGGTGTGTATGTTCAAGCTTCTGTATCTTCTGCCTGACGGAAGAGGTTGGAAGAGAGCATTACGAGGGTGGGAGGGGTCTTTGATAAAGTTAGCAGCCTTTCTGCAGCAATGAGAAGTGTAAGTGGAGTCCATAGATGGGAGGATGGCTTTGAATCTATTCCGCAGACTGATACATTGCTGCCAGGCACATGACTGTTGTGCAGCAGTGAGAACATGCACATAATAATTAGTTCCTAATTCTAAATGAATAATACAGTCTATAACAATATAACAGCTTCCCTTGAGTTCCTACACACTTTTTTGTGATTCGTCGCTCTATCTGCCCAGTGAGTCTGCACTGACCTCATTCCAATGTAATCGGGGTAAGTTAGATGGAAAGTTAGTGGCTGCCAGATACTGGAAGTGAAGAGTTTCTGAACTTTCAGCTTGGAAATTTTAAACTGGTTTATGCAGCTGAGAAGCACTTTTTGTACCCAACTGCTTTGGATTTACCTCCACAAGGACCTGCACTTGCTTCTGACGGTCCTCAAAGCGTCAGACCACTGGAACATTTTCTGACCTCTGTCCCTCAGTCAGGAGCATGCTTGGCTTTTCCTCTGGTGGTAACACTCTATTGCATTAATGGAGATGTAGAAGAAGAATGGTATATAACGGAACTAAGGCAGATCGGGCTCTATTTAATGGGGATGCAGGAAAAGAAAATGTCAATTTTCAGAGCAATGCTGAAACAGTTTGGGAGGTGTAGGCTCTGTTAATTATCAGTTAATTAATTAGCAATTAGTAATTAATTTACACATGTTACAGACAGCAGGACAGGCAATGGTTGCTCTGATTGTGCTGGATCACACTGGTATGCAGAAGATCCCACATTTGGCAAACAGGTCTACAGGAAATGTTCTTTATTCATTAATGGGATGAGGGCATTGCTGACCAGGCAGCATTTAT